GACAATTGAGACTAGGCGATGGAGACCAGGCGTGGTGGCAGGCTCCTGTAATCCCAGGGCTTGGGAGGCTGAAAACGGAAAGGATCACTATGAGTCAGATCTGTGCAGTGAGACCCTGTAAGCCCTGTACTAAATACATTTTTAAAAAATGAATTTAAAAAATTGCAAAAGTTGTTGCTCCCAAAGGTGGCTGTGAGTCTTTGAAATGGGTTGTGGGTTTCTCATCTAACCCAACCTGGGGACACCCACCCACTATATTTCATTCTCACTAACATGGAAAAATGTAATTTTGGAAAAAAGGGAGAAAATGGTTTTCATGAAAAATGATTACATTAAAAAAATTTATGGTTAAAGGAATAAGCTTTCGTTAACTGCAAAAATCAATTATGGGGAACAGCTTACTTTCCCCAAGTGTCCGTAAAATGAAGCATTACTGCTTTATACCTCACATAGGGAGAGCATTTAGAGACTTAACTCCAAAGTTAGTGCAGGCTAAGAACAGACATGGACCATTTAGTCCAAACATGTTGGGCAAGTGTGTGGACTATTCAATCATAATAAGGAGTCATAGGAAACTAGGAGGACTGGGGATATGACTCAGTGGCATAAGGTCCTGCCTGGCAAGTGCAAGGTCCCGAGTTCAATCCCCAGTACCAAAAAAAAAAAAAAAAAAAAAAAAGGAAACTAAGAATTGGGAAGAGGAGCCATTATCCCAGCCTCCAAAGGATGCCAGAGATGGCACACTGCTTGGTTGGAGGTGACCTCACCTAGGGAGCCAACTTTCTAGTCTCTGATCAGTACCTGGTTTGTGAGATCTCCCAGGAAGCTCCATGGGTGGTCGGCAGGCCCAAGAGACCCAAGAGGACTGTGTGGATGGGGCATCAGTCCTATGCCATCCCCTCCACTGACATAGCTGTGACACTGGGTAAGTCACTCACCTTTATGGCACTGACTTCCTCTTCTGAAATATGTGAACGGTACCTTTCCTTCCATCTCTCCTTCCTTCCCTCCCTCTTTTTTCCTTTCCTCTATGGATATGAGGAGTAATGAATAAAAAATCATATATGAAAGACTCTGAAGTACCCAAAATCCTAAGCAGGTTTTATGAAGTTATGTAGAACCAGCAAAGCCAGAACTATTTCATTGCTACGAGTAAACCATCCTAAGAGGACAACAAACTGCCCTGGGCAACTAGAGATCGTGGGCAGGACCAGAATGGTGGACAATACAGAAGTATTGGGCTTTGGTATTAATGAGCAACAAAAAAAATTACTGGTGAGTCATAATTTAAAATTATTATTAAATTAATGTTTACTAAATATTAATACAAAGTATCCGCTTCAGCTGACAGTCACGAGTGGTGTCATGACCATAATCATAAGCTTAATAGCAGCTAATACCGAGCACTGGGCCAAATGTCAGACGTCACTGAGACCTGATGTGCGGGGGGTGGCCTGGGGCTTGGGGAAGCACTGACAGTGGTGGAGCAGCAGGCCACCATCAGTGAAACTGTGAGCAGCTCTGCCTCTTAGGAAAGATGGGAAGTGGGAGGACAAACTGGACTGTCAGCCAGACTCCAGATACAGCTCTCTGTAACGTTAGGCACTCAAAAAATACTGCTGAGTGAATATGGAAGAGCCCGGGGCATCTCAATGTAGGAAGATGGATTTTTTTAGTGTTTGGAGTCCTAGCTGGGCATGTTGTTAGTGGGTCTAATTCAGTCCTTCTTCCTCAATGAGCCTTCATTTTCCCTGAATCCTGCACTTGAGAAAGAAAGCTCCCACTATGGGTCATGCTGGTCTTGCCCTACAATTTGGATGGTCCTCGGCATTATCAAGTTCCCATAACCTGTGATGTGCACAGCCATGACCCATGTCTTCTGGCTCACGAGTGGGGGCCAGACAAGGGCCCTCCCCACACTGGGTGTCATCTCCCAGTATCCCAAGGACTGAGGCGACCACAGCCTTCTGCCTGGGCCTCCTCAGCTCGGATCTGAATTTCTCATCATCTGGATAGTCTCAGCTACTTGAAGCAAAGGGATGAACCAAGCTGACCTTTCTGGAGGTTTGTTTAAAGCAGAACAATGTTTGTCTTGTCCAAACACTATGAATTACTCCAGAGGATCCTGCCCAGTTTTACAATCCACAGCTACAAATGGCTTACATAAATAGGGGCTGGTCCCTCCCTTGTCTCCCCCCCAAAACCTCCGAGTTTCTCAGCCTCCTGTCTGCCTTCTTTCCCTCTTCTGGACTTTTCCTCTGCCCCTCTCCCACATCTTTGCCTTCTTTGCTCTGAGCCCCAGGGTGGTGAATGGACAGGTGCTGGTTATTCTGGGCCACAGCTCACACCTGGGTTATTACTGGCACAGGTCCCCCTTACAGCTGGCTGCTCTGTCCCTGGTGTGGACAGGTTTGCCTTGCTAAGAGAGCCTCTGGGCACATTTGTTCTGTCTGTGTGGGGCCAGTGGTATGCAGTGTTAGGTCCAGCTGTGAAAGCATGTTGGCCTGAGGGGGGCCCCTGTTTGGGGGCTCAACGTCCAGCCAGCCCACAGCCCACTTAGGCCATTCCTCACTGCTGTTGTTCCCTCGCTAGCTGCACATTCTGGGCTATCTCGGGATCTCCTGAACTAGACTCCACTCACTATGGTTGTCCGTCTGGGGAGGTAGCAGAAGACTTTTGCTCATTCAATAGGTACTATGAAGAGCAAGCAGGAACCACCGGCCTGGAAGAAAGAGATTTCTGGGGAAAGAGCCCACTACTCAGTGATGAAATGTGGGCTAGTCCAAGCCTGCTAAGTAGCTGGGTGATACCAACAAGTCACTTCAGGTCTCAGTCTTGCCACTCATACACTGGCTCTAGAATCTCAGCACTGCCATCTGTATAAGGGCTGTAGCATCTCGGAAAGGTGCTTTCCAGGTCTCAGAAAGCACAGTCTAAGGACTGCTAGATCCCAGGCACCAGGAGTGGGTGGAGGCATCCTGAGAGAAACACGGTGCCACTAACACTCCAAAGGGAGGTGTTGGTGAGGACTTGGACAGCTGCCAGGGAGTGTGTGCCAGGGGGTGTGCGGGCAGGACTGGCCCTTGGAGGTGTGAGCAGTGTGTAGAATCCTCCTACCGAGAGCCTCCAGCACCTAGGGCCAAGGGTGAGCTCATTTTATCCTTGTTTTGCAAGTGAGGAAACTGAGCCTCAGCAGGGAGGAGTGACTTCCACTCAGAAGTTGGTGAGAGGCACGGAATTCCATGTCCCCTACACACTCCGGAACACCCTTCTGCCCCCTCCAAGTCTGTCCCTTGCTCTAGCAGCTCTCCCTGCCATTCCAGCCTCTCAAAAGTGCCAAGATTTGGGCTCAGAGTCACACCCCTGCCCCTTCCCCCAAGGGACAGGTAGCACTAGGCAGCAGGACCAGGGCCAAATTTCTCCAAGGAGGTGAACACATGGTAAGTGCCAAATGGAAGAAAACCAAGTTCCAGGAGTTTCACTCTGGATAGGGCCACGTCAGCTCTGCCCTCTGGGATGCTCCACAACCCACAGGGGCTCTTGTTCAGGCTACTACTGCAGCAGCAAGACCCGCTTCTACTGGAGGGCCAGGGGTGGCCAGGGAAAGGCATCAGCATTCAGGACCCGCAGGCCATGTGTGTCCACCACTCCAGGCCATCCCTGGTCCAGAAGCTTTCAAAGGACAAAGCCAGTCACCTGATAGCTACCGCTCCCGGGGTAGGGAGAACTCTGAAAGGCGCCAGCGTCACCTCCCAGGCCCTTAGAGGAAAGGAGCTGATTTCATAAAGAACTCAGGATGAAAAGGCCAGTGCTGGTCCGAATTGCACCAGCTGGGTCCTGCTTCTACTACCTGCGCTGCGTGTTGCATTCCACCCACAACAATGGAAGACCTCGAGCTTGCTGTGTGACCTCAGGAGCGCTAGCGAGGACTCTGGGTCTTTTAGGAACCAAGGGATCTAAATCAGACCGAAGCTCTGGCTCCAAAGTCCGCGCCTTAGATTAGCTGCGCCTCCTTCGAGTTCAGCATTTGATTTTCTAATCCATCTCTTTGTCGCCCCCTCCCACTCCCCAACCCCAGTGGCCTTAACCCGAGCTTCCTGTTTCCAGGTCCGCCTCTGCCCTGCCTGGGTCCCGCCGTCGGCCGACTTTCCCGTCGAAAGCCCTCGAGTGTGTGATGCTCTGGCGCGGGCGGAGGCCAGCGGGTCCGCGGCGCGGGCCGTGCTGTATGGAAATGGTCAGAGGAGCCGGCGGGCGCGGCGGCGATTTATTCTAGGAGTGACAGCCCCTTTGAGCGCTCGGCGAATGGCATTTTCTGTCTGTGAAAGCCTTTCTTCCCACCTCTGTTCAGATTAGCCCGGGGGATGAATGCGCCCATTATCCAGCCCGCTGACCATTCTGAAACGCCAAATTAATTACTAAGCACTGAATCAGGCGCCTGGGCCGGGGCACTAGGAGGTGTGAAAATAGCGAGCGGCTGGGGATGGGGAAGGCGAGGGGCACAGCGCCGAGAGCCGGGCGGGGTGGCCCGAGCCGCGGGCGCGGGTGCGGCGGGGTCGGGAGGGCTGCGCAGGCCACGGAGCGCGGCCGGCGTGACCGTGCGCCGCTGTGGGGCGAGCCTGCTCTGTGGCGCTGGCTGAGCTGGGGGAGGAAGGCGCAGTGCGGGGGTCGCCGCTCGGAGCAGGCTGGGGCTCGCTGGGATCGCGGCCAGAGCGCACCAAGTGCGCAGCGCGCGGGGCCGGAGCTTGAGTGTGCGCCCCGCGCCGTGAGCCGGTGGCTGTCTTCGATGCACCGCTCGGGGTGGGCGCCCCGAGACAGCCGCAGACTGCGGCCACCCTGGTCATCGCCCCGAAGGCTCTGCGATCCCAACCCTCGGCTCTAGCTGCCCTCCGAGGCCTTACAAAAACTTGGGCGCCGCCCTCCGACCGTAGCCAAAGCCAGAGCTTCCTGAGCGCGGGTCACCTCTACCCTGCAGGGACTCGGGTTCCGCGGGTGGCACTTACCTCCCCGAGGCGCAGCGCGGCCGAGGTACGCGAGCTCTGGGCGGCTCCCGCCAGAGTGTGAAGGGCTCGGGGCGCGGAGTAGCGCGCGCCTTTAAGCCTCTTCCCGGAGACTCCGCCAGGTGGTGTCACGCCGGACTTGCCCTCGCGCCTCCGAGCCCCCGCGATCACCCAGTTCCCCGCGGGCCGCCACCGGAACCCCTTCCTTTAGCTCTCCCGAGTCTTTCCTCGCGGGCGTCTGCGGAACTAGTGGTGGGGACCCAAGAAGATATAATTTGGGACACTTATCCAAGAGAAGTCACCCATTCCACCTACAGTAACTTTGGTTTGGCCTGGAGGGTTGGAGGTATCTCCCCCTTCTCTCCCCCACTGCTAGGGATGCGGGCGGAAGAGGAGAGGACTGAGAGGTCAGGGTAAACCTCAAGTGCGTGCTAACCGGTCCTCTCTTCTCACCTTTGATACAAGATGGCCCGCTGCCGGTGCCTCCCCCAGTTACCATTACAGTGATAGAAGATAAAATAGAAACGTAGGGGCCGGGGAGCTAGCTCAGTGGAATAAGCGCTTCCCTGACAAGCACAAGGGCCTGAGTTCAATCCCCAGTTCCACCAAAAAACAAAAACGTATAACCGGGCAATGAGTGAGCCACACTCCCACGGGACTTCAGGAGGACACGAACTACGCTGCGACACAGCACCAAGGCGGCTGCTCCATACTCCAGGCTGGAGTTCCAGTCCCAAAACCAAAGCCATTTGTGAACCCTCCTCAAAGATCAGGCTGCTTGGGAGCACAGCTTGGCAGGCAGAAACTGCAGCTCTAGCTTCGGGCCATTATTCAACTTTTCCATCATAGGCCTCTCTAAAGAATTATTTTTGACCTTGGTTCTGAGATTTCAAACCTCATTATTGACTAACTTTTTGGTCTTTGTTGTTTATTGCCTTTTCTTTTACATAAACATCTTCTTCATTCCTGACTTCCTTATTTTGATTAATTTCTCACACTGTTGAAATGCTCCTTAGAGTAGTAGTAACATTTAGAGGGAAGGAAGGGTTTTTGGAGGTTGAACTTGAGTCTATGTCTGTGAATTAAGACACTAGATACAGAATTCTAGGATCAAGACACTTTATACTCAACAACTCTGTAAAATAGGCACCATGCTAGCATTAAACAGGAAAACTAATGTAACAAGCGCACCCTGCATGGCCTAAGACATAGTACAGAGTCATGTTTGTAACAATTTATGGTTATATTATTAGTTATTGATCCACACATCAACTTCTGGTTTTATAGTTCTCTCAGATTTTAGGTTAGACCTTTCATCCTTTTCTTTTTCTTTTCTTCTCTATTATTCCTTCCTTTATAAATCCAGGGCCTTGTATTATTAGTGCTGCTCACCACTGAGCTACACCTCAGCCCCCGAGGTTACATTCTTTAAAAAAAAAATCTGTAAGTGCTGTTAATATAACTAATTAGGTTATAGTAACATGAGTCTAGTCTCCGTAACTAATTGTGACCTTGGGTTAGTCTCTTATTCTCTCTTCACCTTCACTGCTTCTACAAAATAAATGAAAGGCCACAAGATTGCTGTGATCTTGTTTGGCTCCAATAATCTGGGATTGTATTCATTTATAATCAAAAAACAATGACCTGCAGCACAATAAAAAGAAAGCCACTTTGCAATGATTAGGATGACTATAGGAAAAAAGGCAAATAATTACAATGTTGAGGAGGAGAATGTGGAAAAGTTGGAATCTTCATCCATTGGTACTAGAAGTATAAATAAACTGGTACAGACATGGAAAAATCTGGTAATTCCTCAAAAGTTAAACCTGAAATTATCATATAATCTAGCAATTCCACTTTTAGAAATATACCTAAAAGAAATAAAAACATATATTGCCCCAAAATTTACATACAGATGTTTCTTACATTATTTATAATAGCAAAAAACTGGACACAATCCAAATGTGCATCAACCAAAGACAGGATAAAAAAAAAAGTGTGGTATATCCATACAAAGGAATATTATTCAGCCATTAAAAGACATGAAGTATTGATTGACACAGGCGGCAACAAGGATGAATTGTGAAAATGTGGTGCTGAGTGAAAGGTGCTAGTCACAAAAGACCATACATTGCATGGTTCCACTTATAATGGATGTCCAGAGTACACAAATCTGCGGAGACAGAAAGCAGGCTCACGGTTACCCAAGGCTGGGAAAGGAAGGAGGACAGAGGAAATGTGGAGTGATTGCTGATGGATAAGAGTCTTGTCCTGGAGTTAGTTGTTATGATGAATGTGCAACTCAGTGAACATAAACTGTACATTGCAAATGGAGGAGCTGGACGACGTAGGAGTTATATCTCAGTTTAGGTGTTGTGTTAGAACACTACTATTTCAAGCCAGGAATAGTGGCACATGCCTATATCCCAGCACATTGGATGACTGGGGCAGAAAGGTCACACATTGGAGTCCAGCCTAGGTGATTTACTGTGATCTTTTCTCAAATATAAATAAGTAAATAAATAAATGGCAGAAGATGTAGCTCAGTGAAAAGGTTTTGGATTCAATCCCAACTATGCAAAACAAACAAACAAACAAACAAGCAAACAAGCAAACAAGCAAACCAGCAAGCAAATTCTCATTCCATCAAATACACATCAGGTCTGGGCCTGACAATGCCCAGACAAACAAGGAGATGTGGGCTTGGCTGTCATGAATCTTACAGCATAATTTGTGGGTATCATTCCAGGGCCCCATGATCTGCTCAAATCACACCCTCCTCACCATGTAGCACAAAGATTTCCAGGGCCTAGATCATGGTAAGGGCTTGTTCTATTTCCTAAGAAATCTCAGCTTTCTATTCTTTGTGTCTTTGAAAGTACACATTCTCAGTCAGGCCCTTCTTAGGTACATCCGAGTTGTGAACTTTCAGAGATATAAACAGACCTGCTTCGTGAGCATTCCTAGAGGTGAGTAAATCAATGAAGTAGCTTATGTGTCCACCAGATACTGTCACAGCTGTGCTACTCTATGCTTGTTGTACAGTGCAATAGTGTACAGTTGTCCAGTACAGTCAGAGAATTACTGTATTTTGTATATGTGTTTGAGTTTTTTTTATGCTTTACATTGCATATCTGTGACAAAGTGAGTGAGCTAACACTCACTTGGTTGGATTTCTGAATGAATCCAACTTACCAGTGTTCTCCCATAACAGAACTTGTACATAATTGGGAGCTTACTGTGTAGTCTTTGACTCTCCCAAGGCCAGGGAGATAACTCAGTGGAATAAGTGCTTGCCTGGCAAGTGCAAGGTTCTGAGTTCAATCCCTGGTACCAAAAAAAAAAAAAAAAGTGAAGGGGACTCTCCCAAGACAACAGTACCTGCAAGCACATAGCACTGTGATTAGGAACAGTGATTTAAAGTCAGGCTTCAAATCCCAACCTTGTTTTACCAGATACTTATTTATTTTTATTTATTTATTTTGGCAGAACCAGGAATTGAACTCAGGACCTTGAGCTTGCCAGGCAAGTGCTAATTCTACTGAGCCGTCTCCCCAGCCCCTCACCAGATACTTGAAGAAAGACACTTACCTTCTCTGTGCCTCAGTTTCCACAGGTACAAGATAAGGATAAGAAATTTTATGACATTAGATGAGTTAATATATATAAAGTCATGGTGTGTGGATTCATGGTGTGTGGATCCTCCTTTAGCTAATGCCCTAGATAGGCTACTTTCCCATAGTCCACTAGGTGGCGTATGTGCACCACTTCCTGCAACACAAATGCCCCCACCCCCCCAGGGGCTCTTGCATAGTTAACCTGGGGCTTTGACAACTGATGGGTAGTTTGCTAATACAATACTGTAGTCGTGGTTTCACCTGTGAGTTATAAATACCAGTATCACCTATGATACAGTAAGTTTCTCTAAATAATGCCACTTGCTGGGAAAAGTTTTCTGCAGTCCAGAGAAACTGACGCAGATCTACCAGTCCAGGGCATATAGTTGTGGTCAGTGGCAACGTCATCCCGGGTGCCCATGGTCATCCAACCAATGCACTCAAGCACAAGTTAGAGTTTCCCATAGTACCCTCCTCCATTTTACAATGAAGCTTTTGTAACACCTCCTTATCGACCTGAACAGAAATAAATAGGTGAGGTGGCCTTCAAACGTCCATAATTTCTTCCCTCATATCAACTTCATGCTTTGCTAGTAGTATAAAGAAGTCATGCATAGTAAAATAATGTGCATTTTATTATGTAAATGCTTGGAGACAATGAAGTAAGATGGCACAATGAAGTAGACCAATGCTTACATCTATTAGTAAAATTACCAAGAAGACCACAGTAACAAATGAGGTGAGACAGAGGTGCGTGGCACTGGTGGTTTCAATGCCTTGAACAGAGCTACCCCAGGCAACATGATTTTCCAAAGGGTTCAACAGATCCTAGTGAAGTTGTCTTCCTGGAAATGTTAGTGTACATTAACAATGCGAAAACAAAATCAGTCCTCTGTGTTCATAGACAAAATGAAGCTAGTCCTGGGCACCAATGATTTTTCATCTACATGGATGTTTGATGGGACAATTAAAGGTTCAGAGTAAAAGGGACAATTCTTTGTTGTGCATGACCCACTGTCCCCTATATGCATCGCAGATGTCTGGCACTTCTAGTCCTTGACTACTAAATAGTAGTGGAGACCCCCAATCACTGCAGCAGCCAAAACCACTTCCCCACAAATTTCCACTTGAACAATAGCTTCTCCGTTGAGAGCCACTAGTCTGGGATGAAAACCTCTTTGGGCATTTCTAGCAAAGCTGGCACTTGCTCTGCTTGGGGCTCAACTTGTAAAAGGTATTTGATTTTTTTTCTAGCCCACACAAATACTCTTGTCTGGAACTAGAGTTAGGACTGGGGGGGCGTCCAGAAAGAGGGGGGCCTTTTGCTCTGAGAGTATCTCCTTTTGCATTAGCCCTTTGTCCAGAAAAAGAAGACCTGAGGGAGGCTGGCCTGCCAATCTCAAACACAAATCCAGTGGTCTTTTTGAGGCTTTTC